GCAACCCGAGGCTGCAGGGCCAGCGGCTATTAATACTCGCAGCGCGGCTGGCTGCGTGACAAGAGCTTGACCCGGGATCAGGATCCCTCTGCCCTGGCAGGAAGGGCTGGGGAAGCGGGGGCCAGGGCTAGGCCACCTGTCCCGGGAGGGTTAGACCTGGAGCTCCTGCACCAGCGCTTCCAGCGTACAGCCTGGGCCTGGAGACCTTCCCAGAACCCAGCGCTCTTTGCTGTCACTTCCGTGCAGCGTCTGATCCCGGCAGAGAAGACCCGAGCTAAATGATGATGCTTGCTCCAGGCCACCAGCTCCATGAACCTATTTTGAGGCAGCTTCTGTGAACAGAATCTGCTACCTCATTCATCCAGTGCTGCCCTGACATTTAAGAGTTGTACAAATGAATCCCTTTTCCTGATCTGATTTCAGCCTTTTGCCTTTGCAGAATTCTAAGTTTAGAGAAGGGAAAGTAGTTAGAGTGTAGTTACCACATGTTAATCGGCAAAAGGACATAATAAATTAGAAAGGCTCAATATTTGTGTGGTTTTTAGGTTAAAATTTTATAAATGCTATATTGGCTCCTCCAAGCTCCTAGAAGTTTAGTTTCAGCCATGTTCTTTTGTTAAATTTAGTTTTTTTGTTTGTTTTGTGAGACAGGGTCTCACTATGTAGTTGAGACTGACCTGGAACTCACTGTGTAGCCCAGGCTGGTTTTGAACTCACAGTGATCCTCCTGCCTCAGCCTCCTGAGTGCTGGGATTACAGGCGTGAGCCACCACGCCCATAAGAGCTACTCTTTTTTTTTTTTTCCTTCTCTCCTTACTCCAAAAGGTTTTATGTGTAAATTCCCTTGGGAGCATTTAACTGCCTCAACTGATGTGATAGGAACGATCTGTTAACACCATTTCAAAGCACAGTTACGACAACTACATTATGAAACTGCATTTGTAATGCAGGCTCTTGAACAGGCTAAAAGAAAAAAAATTTTATTTTGCACAATCATTTTTCATCAGTGGTGGATTATTTCCTCGGGCAAGCATAATTACAATCCACTGCAGTGAAGATAGAGCACAACTTTTCTCCCACAGAAAAATTATTTCTAATATACCTACAACCAGAACTGTTAAAAATATTAAAATTAAGAAGAGTCTATAAGTTTCTTCTCATTTGTAATGAGTTTTACTAGGTAAAGAACTGGGATCTAGTGATGAGCATATTATGAATTTTAGGAATTAAACTCTGGTTACTCTTAAAAAAACACTTGGTAAAGAAAACACACTGGAAAATTTTCACTCTTTTAAAAAAAAGCATTATGATAAATGAGCATCCTCCATTCCAGCCCAGCATAGCAACCAGTGCCAGCTACTGTTGAGTTACATACTTTTCTGTGTGAGACACAGTAAGACCTGCTAAGACCACAATGAATTGTAGAAATGTCAGATTTAAAAACCAGGAAAGAAACTCTCCTCCTGCCCTCACCTCCAAGCAGGCATTATGCCATTCAAGCTTGTTTGTCAGTACTAGAGATTGAACCCAGGGCCCTCCCACTAAGCTAATCCTAGCCTTTTTTTTTTTTTTTTTAAACAGTCTAAATCACTAAATTAACTGTGCTGTGCTCCAACTTGTGGTCCTCCTGTCTCAGTCTTGCAGAATGCTAGGACTGTAGGCATGCACCACCATGTCCAACTTTGATATTTCTTAGAATAACAACCTGCCCCGTGAGGTCAGCCTTTGCTAGGTTATTTATGCTCTGTGAAAGATACGATGTTTTGGGAAGCCATAGCTGAGAGAATGGCTCATTTTACCTGAGGGATTAAGAAATTCTGCCACCTGGAAGTGGTCTGTGGCGGTCCAGCCATCACAACACATGCCTGAGTTGGGGAGTGAGGATTGAGAAATCAAAGAATACTCAAGGCTGAGTGGAGACCAAGAGAAGGCTGCTTTATTTTTCAGAAACAGCTCTTTTTAAAGGCACATCAACAGGAAGCACCTGACTGCTACAGGTAACATCAGAGCTTTGGCTATCTCTTCCAGTTCCTCCCATCACAGGGTTAAAGAACAAACAAGCTTAACAAACAGAGTCCTTGAAAAGGAACAAATGTTAACAAATGTTAATTAGGAACATCCTGACCACACATTGTGTCAATGCCTTGATTATATTGAAAGAAGTTGTCTTTCAAATGTCAAACACCAGTGGGCCATAACTGGCTCCCACATTTCCCCCCTTTTATTACATTTAGAGCAGGGAATTTCCCAGCTCAGCAGAAAGACTGTGCCTGTAACCATAAGTAGGTGGAGCAGAAGAGAAGGGAGAATACCTGGACCAAAAGGTTATTACTATAAACAATATAGTGGAAAACCTGCATAGTCAAACAACATGAATACATTTTGTATACCAGAAAAGTAGAATAATTATAATTATATGAAATCTTATGTCCTATAATGTTGCTTTGTATCAACAGGATCTTCCCCTTTTTTCAGAAAATATTGTATTTTGAAGATAACCATCATAAACATGTTACAATAACATATTTAGAATTCAGCCTTTTGATAATAACCAACACAAACATTTTTAACAACATATTTAACAAGGCATATCTTTTTATAAGGCTATGAAATTTGGGTGGCTCCCGTTAGTGAACAAAGATCAGAATAAATTTTGAGCAGCTGCTTCTTTACCAACAGGAGTGTATCCAAATTTAAAATTTTATATTTAATTATCTTTAAATTTTTTATTTAACCTATGAAACCAGGGTGTAGAAATCAATAATCTATTTGTATTTGACATCATTTTGATCAAAAACATAATTGGACAAATATTTTTGAACATTTAGACAGACAAACATAAGACAATTTAAACTAGAGTGCATTCAGATGGTTTTGGTCAATTGAATTATAAAATCTTCTAGTTACAACTAGTCAAAATTTTTCAGTTAAAATTAACAGAGATCTCTTGTAGAATTAGGGTTAAAGGAATGAAAGCTCTTCTTGACTGTAAATGTAGACCTTTTATAACACACTTGAAACCAACCAACCAACAAATAAATCATTTCCATATGCCTTCTCTACATACTTAGGCCTTCTGGTCTTGTATGTCTTTCTTTACCTGTTTTTAACAAGACAAACATACAAAAACCTACAAAACCT